ATTTTTTTTCTTCTTAATCCTTATTCTTTCCTTTTAGTCTCATACAGTATAAGAAAACAAAGTACTAATTAGTTATTATTTCTATTTAGGAGAGAGGATTGTCTCATATTAGTTTTATTATCTTATATATTGGCATTTCTAGATAAGAGATAATAGTTGAATAAAATGCTATACTTCTTTAACTTGATATTCATGTGTGAAAATTAGCTCCTAGCTGTAATATTATATGCTGGTCAAATCTCTAGGCACAATATAAGCTAAGGTTTGGCTTTTAGATGCACAATTAATATAAATCTCTGGTTCCACTTGTTCTCCATTCTACTCTATCTCATCTCAGCTTCCACTCCCTTTTCTTTTTGTACCAAAAATATCCTTAGCACTGGCTAATTATAAAATCCAACAAAAATAAAAATATTCTAAGCTTTATTTAAAAATTAAGAATTTCAAAAGCTGGGCTCTGTGGCACACATCTGTAATTCCAGCTATGTGGGAGGCAGGAGCAGGAGAATCACAAGTGTGAGGCTAGCTTGGGCATTTTACAAGACCCTATTTCAAGATAAAACAGATTTCAAGACTGGCAACAGAGCAGAAAATCAAGAGCTGGTAATCTTTGTCAGTGTGTTAAGGTCAGAAAAAGAAATGAAAAGCAATGAACTCACTGGGTCTCTTCCAAGTACATAAACCCTAGGATTAGATGAATACAAATGGTTATTATACATATATGATTAGATACAATATAAAAATTAAAAATGCCCTTGGTAAGAAAAATTTGCTATTTTAAGTGTTATTTCTCTAAAATAAAATTATCAAGGCCCCCAAATCAAATTATTGCTTTTAATTTTCCCATTTTTAATTTCTGACACTGCCAGTCGAGCAGAAGACCCAATACTATTATGGGCTACTGGACTCTTTTAGAATCTTTTGCTAAGTTACACACCTATAATATTCAAATAATGGAACTTAACAAAAAAAGGGGATACAGATGAATGTCTATTTTGTATCTGTGTATTCAAAGTGGTTAGGATAGATATATAGTTACATTCTCTTAATGAATAGAGGGATTTCTTCTAATGGTGTTTGTAAATAGGATATCATGTCCGCATCTTGTACAGCAATTAACCACTAGGAAGAATGTATACAATGTGTTAATTATTGAAACTGTCCTACCAATTTGGTTTGAAACTGTCTCATTGCTATTTGTTTCTCAATAAAATTATGGAAAAAAATTTTTCCATTTTTCCCTAGGACCTTTACATTTACATTTTACATCATCTTGATGTATGATGCTTATTATTTACCATCATTAACTTGATAGCCACGTGACTAGAACCTTATTTCAGGTGTATTTTCTTGAATAACATTGAGTGGGTCCCCACAGTCCCACAGTCCAGAAAGTATAGTCTTCAGATGAATTCTGCTTTTTCATCTTTACTGTACATAACTTGAATTAAGTTTATCTTTAAACTATACTAAACCTTTGAAGTAGTGGAATACAAGTCTGAAGCTAACTAGAGCAGCCTAGTTAGGGTAAATGAGGCAAATATTTCCATAACAAAAGGTCAGACCAAAGAGTAGCTGTGGATTTACTGTGCAACTGACAAAATGTAAGCCTCAGTGGTCCTCACTTGCACAGGCTTTTCCAGCAGCTCATTTTCATAAACTGGGAGAAAAATATATCTGGAGCAATCAGAAAAAATACTGTTTATTTCCACATTGACTTTCTGTCTTCCTCACAAGTGATGCTAGAAGGTTTTTTATTTTTATTTTTATTTTTTAGTGTGTGTGTGTGGTGTTAGTTAAGGGAAAATAGAATTGGGAATAGGTTGTTTGAATTTTAGTGAGGTATGTTTTTGTGAATTACAGCAACTCTACATATTGTATAGTTAGCCATGTGTGTAGGAATGACTATAGAAACACTCCCACAACTCTCACTGTGCCAACTCAGTAGGGGGACATGAAGACTCAGGCAGAGGTCATGTCATACACTGTGCATATGTTGAAGCAGCCACTTAAAGAACTGAGCTAAGGGGCAGGCCTCCTTTTATTGTTTTTTTTTTTTCTCTGAATGCCTTCAGGGCAGGTTTGGCTGGCTTGAGTTTATGCATATGTTTAATGGTTCTGACCAAGGATCTTGGTTATTGTAGGGGCAAAAAGTTTAAAATATTCAAAGTCACAAGTGTCCTATGGAAATTCTTTCAAATTTTGCATCTCGTATATAAAGTAAGCTAGATAGTTTTCCAAGATCTTATAATATCTAAAATTTAGACACTATCAATAATGACTTACAAAGCTGAAAGAAGCTTTTGTAATTCACCAACAATTAAAAAAAACAAATTTGAATCCAATACATTAGATGAAAGGTAGAATTATTTTTATAATTTCCTACAGAAAATTAAATTTCAAAATTATGGTTATATGGAGAATCAATGTAAAACTATGCAGCCATAGAGAAAAGTATTATACAGCTATGATAGGTAGCTAATTAAATAATTGCTGTTCCTCTAGATTTTGTGATATATATGACATTTGTCAGTTTTTAACTTTGCAATTTGTTGTGATTATTTTCTCATTTTATTTTTTTGTATTTAGTACAGGGTCTACAGGGTCTCACTACAGAGATCAGACTTGTAGTGATATGCCTGTGTTCAGCCTCCCAAGAGCTGTGATTACAGGCATGTGCCATCACACCAAATCTCAATCGCTGTCTCAGTGTGACCTAGAGGCAGTGCCCGGAAGGCACATGGGAGATCCAACCCAGGCTGCTGTGCTCTGCCTAAGCAGGCATTTTAGTCCACTGAGCTATCTGATTGGCCCTTATATTCTCATTTTAAATAAATACTCACTTTCAAATTGCATTTTGTGTTTTTTTTTTTTTCTAAAAAAGGGCTGGTCAAATTGCACAAATTTCAGATCCCATAAAATCTGAATCATCCTTGAATAAAACTTTTAAACATTTAGTAGTAAGGTAAGAGTTTTTCTCCTTGGTTAAGCATTCTTTAATAAAATAGATGGGATTCTAGACTCTCACCTCTGCAGCAGAATTGGTAACATTGGGGCATTAGAATGGAAAATATTGAGAGGAAAACAAATCCATCACCAATAACTGAGAAAGCAGGAACCCTGGGAGGAATCTGGCACCTAGTCTGGACTTCTGTTCCAAAAATGAAATCTTCCAAAAAGAAGGTCTACTGAAATGGGTTTGAGATATCTAAGTTCACTTCACCTACTTTGGATTTTTCCACTATGAAGAGAAAGTTAAGGTTGACACAGTGGATGACAATGACTGACAATATTCTTCTATCTCACTGTCCCTCCTGTCCTCAGTGACTGAGAACTTGGCTAGATTTATAAAAGGGGGAGATCTTATGGTCAATGCAGTCAATAACCCCTGACATGATTTTATAATCATTTATTTCCTTCACAAGAGGGACTAATGTTCTAGGATTATAATTCATAAGCAAATTGTGCTATGTTCACCAGCCACTCCTTAAAGAAGAGTTTCCATGCAATACTGCATTTTAATCTACTTGTTAGTGATCCTGTTTGCATGCTCTTTTGCATGACTTCATTAAAAGATTAACTTGTTCTTCTGTATTCTAGATAATGAAAAGGAAATTGTAGTACAAGTTGTATCACATCCATAAGCCCAAAATTTGTTTCCAAGGAAAAGAATGAGACATGGTCAGAACATCTCTGGTTGATAGACTTGCCACCTCATAGGAAGAGGTCACAAGTTGGAGGAAGACCCCTTTTGTCTTCTCTAAACTCCCAAATCTGAAAGAGTTGAAAGCTTGGTACAAACATGACTGAAATCCCTTTTGTTGACTTGCAGTCCATGTGGGTAATACTGGATATTACTTAGAATCACATTGATAGGAAACAAAAGGTAATGCAAGCCTTTGAATAGTTTCTGGTACTTGATGTCCTGGTTTTTATTTCACTATGAGCAAAGAATCAGAGTATGTTATATTCCACAGAAGTCTGCCATCTTGATTCCAGTAGCTCTGACAGCAATGTGCCACTGTAAGAACTCTCAAGAAATTCTCCAAGTTGGCCATACTTTTATTTTCTGATAAAGTCTATAATTCAGGGGCCTGCCAGATAGCTCACTTGTTTAAGTCCCTGCTTGGGTAAACCCTGTTAGGCCTAGGGGACCATGGTTTGATCCCCAGGTCCACTTGCCTCACCAGATGTGCCCTTAAGGCAGCCTGAGCCAGCCAAAAAAAGTCTGCAATTTAGATTAATGATGCATTCCACAGGAGGAAATGACAGTAGGATTTTGGTTGCAGGACAAAGTAAGAAAAAGGCAAGTGGGACCCCAAACTGCTTAAAGACATTTCTTAAAGAACATAAAGTATCATTAGGGTTATGAATTCTCTGAGATCTTATCTTTCTTTCCATTTTTTTTTTCTTTTTAATTTTTGGGTAAGAAGAATTTGAAGAATCATGCATGCACATACAAGTGAGGAGCTTGCTTAGCAAAGCAAAGAATCCCATTCTTGATATTCTTTGAGGCTAGCCTTAAATATATTTAGAAAGAAGCCATATTTCAAGAGGAGAAGGATCACTCTGCCCCAGTCCCACCCCCAAATCGTCAAGAAATGCAAAGAAGAAAGTCAAGGATTGATGCCTTTTTTTTTTTTCTTTTTAAATGTTTACCTCCTCTTTCAATTGAAATCCTGGAAGAAAAGGTGAAATGCTTGTTTGGGGAGATATTGTTACATTGATTTGCTTTCCCTGAATACATTTACTCAAACCTCCCTGAACCCACAGTCCTCTTGTAATGGGAATGAATTTTCCTTCCTTCACATCATCATCAGTGTAGTATGTGATTTCTTTTTAATAGTGTCAGGGTCAGCTTTCTCTTATCTTTATTATCTCCAAAAAGCCTACTAAAGCCAACAGTCTGTGGGATCCTCCTCCCACACATTTGGTTGTTGGATTTCTTCCACTTTAGTGGGATGTGGTGCTTCATTAAGGCTATGAAGGATATCCATTACCTCTGCTCTCATCTTTTTCCATGTCAGTCCTGATCTGTTCCTCAAGGTCTTCTGGTGATAAACAGATATCCTCTTCTGGCATTGATGATTTGGGTTTGCAGTGGCCACAACAACAGTTGCAGCAGCAGCAAAGACAGCAACAGAAATAGCAGCCAGTCAAGAGGCCAATGATGATGAATAGGGTCTGGAAGAAACAAGGGCAAAGCAAATGGGGGTGAGGGATTGTAGAAGAGTGGATAATCCCAGAAACCAACTCTGAAACCATGCATCCCCAGAGTCCTGATGATATCGCAGTTTACTTCACATACTGCATGTAAGCCCTCATCCTCACCCATGTAGGAATTATCTTACAATTTCTACAAAATCACCTTTAAAAAGTTGTGCCCAATAAGGTACATCCAGAGAAAATGACTTGTAGCTGCAGCAATGCAGTGTGGTATTTTCACTTTTAATATACTGTGATCTTTATTAAGAGCAGAGCAAAGCAAAACAAAATCCAAACAAGCAGTGAACAAGACTTTCACAAGTCAAATGAGATGGTCAATCTATGTTGGTCAGTGGAATTGAACCACTTTCACCAAAGAAAACAGTGATACCTCTTCCCATCACCCCCAGAGTCTTGTTAGTCACCCTGTCCTATCATCTCTCCTCAAGACTGCTTGCATCCTCCCCATCATCCCTATCAGGTCAGCGTGGGACTTTCTTGCTTTCCAAATTCAAAATTATAAGAAACTCATTTTGTGAATTGAACAAAATCAAGTTATGATTTTATTTAAAATGTATTACTAAACTGGCTAAATAGCTTAGCAGACTAAAGCGCCTGCTTAGGCAGAGCTCATGGCTGGGGTTCAATCCCTGGTGTGTCATGCCAGCCTTGCTCTGGGGCATGTTGAGACAGAGATTGAGACTGGGCATGGTAGGGCACCTGTGATTCCAGCACTTGGGAGGCTGAAAACAGGAGGATCACTATGAATCTTATCTATGTAGTGAGACCCTGTAGATCCTGTGCTAAATACATAAAAAAGTATTATTTAAAATAGAGCAAGTGGATCATACCTTTTATTTAATTAATGAGCAAGGGAGAAAAAAGACAAAGATGATATTCAGACAGATAGTGAGGTTAAGCTTAACAGCCTAGGTTGTATGGTAATAACAATAAGCTTGTCTTCTGGAGGGTTAACAACCTACGTTTGCAGACCAAAAATTAGAGAAAAAGGAGGGCCACAAGGGAGGCCAACATTTTGGCCCTAGCCTTCCAAGGTCAATTAAGACTCAGGATATATGAGAACTTGTACTGTAATGTCATGTAGCTCAGTTGTGTCCCAAATTTTCTGATCAAGGAGATTATGGTGCCAAGGAGGAAAGTGATTGATGATGTACCGTGTGCCTAAGGAGAGTCACATGGAAAGAAAACATTCTCTCAGGCTTTCATAGAGAGCAAATTGGCCAAGCAATGGCTGTGACTCATCCACATGGCTGACATTGACAAAGGATCTACAACCTGAGGTACAAGATCTCAGGACAAATCCTGAGGGGATTTGACTGACTTTATCAGATCCAAAAGCTACAATTCTTGTTGCATAGGTCTTTCTTTATTTTGGTCTTAACCATCCAACAGAAAAGTATAAAAACAAAGTATAAGAAGTAAAGCCATGCTGTTATGTTGAGCTGTAGGGGACTCAGGTCAACAATTTCTGACATTGCCAGTCAAGCAGAAGACCCAATACTATTATGGATTACTGGACTCTTTTGGAATATTTTGCTGAGTTCACACACCTATAATATTCAAATGATGGAACTAAACAAAAAAAAGAGGATACAAATGAATGTCCATTTTGTATCTGTGTATTCAAAATGGTTAGGATAGATTTATAGTTACATTCTCTTAATGAATAGAGGGATTTGTTCTAACAGTGTTTGTAAACAGGATATCATGTACACATCTTGTACAGCAAATAACCATTAGGAAGACAGTATGCAATATATTAATTATTGAAACTGTCCTGCCAATTTGATTTGAAACTGTCTTATTGCTATTTGTTTCTCAATAAAATTATGGAGAATAAAATACAATAAAAAATAAAATAAAGTATATTTTAATTAAAAAAAGACAAAGATTGCTTGTGTGCAACACAAATACAAACTTTGTCAGTAACTGCAGCAGAAATCTTTAGAGCTGACTCACTTGCTCTGTTCCCTCTTCCTGATCATTCTGCAGGTATTCCTTGGCTTTTGCCTTCAAGATCTCTCCTTTTCCTTGTACAGCTTTGTCCTTTTCTACTTTACTTGCAATTCCCATAGTTTTTGTTTTTTTTTTTGGAATGTCCTCTTTTCATTCATGCACTGCTGAGTGTGTGTGTGTGTGTGTGTGTGTGTGTGTGTGTGTGTATGAGAGTGAGTGAGAAAAAGAGAGAGAGAGAGAAAGACAGACAGACAGACAGCATTGAAACCAGGGCTGTCAAGCTGATCTGGATCTCAAGCCCTTTAAAAGAGTTTTATTTTGAAATAGTCTCAAATGACTAAATATCCTCCCAAAGGGCTGGAATTATTGACACATGCTACCACAGCTGGCTCAATATTATTTTGTTCTTTAAAATTGCTTGCCTTTTATACAAAATAACCTTGCTTTATCCCTTGCAGTGCTTAGCATACTACAAGATACAAGTATGTATGTGATATTATATATACATATATATTACATATATATACATATAATATTCATTCATTTATTCATGTGGTACAGATGTAATGGGTGAATCACAGGCAACTCTGATAAGCACTGTGTGTTGGCCTTTGGCACAAGAAGAATTGCTTCATAGTTTTAATTTTAAAGAACCACATCAGGCACAATTTGCATATCTCCTCACTATTGGATAGATTCTTCCTGTGCACAGGATTTTAATAATTTCCTCAAATTCCTGGGCAAGGAGGTCTATTTTCATTCTTATGTAGACAGACCATAATGTTCATACATATGTACATGTATAATTAATTATCTAGAACTGCAGACATTCCTTCCCATGAAAAGATGTCATGTCTGTGCACTAGGTTCCCACACAAGCTCACAAAAGTCCATATTGTTATATGAATGCAATCATCATGAATAAGTCACTATGTATACTTTTACCCCAAGCTTCAAATCCACTTTGCAGTATCTTGCCTTCTTTTCAAGTCTTCTTTAAAGAAAAGGGTTTCATGGGATTCTCAGACCACCCCCACAAAAAAAATAATTCTGGGATAGAGTTTGCAGGAGATAAATAAGACTTTAAACTGTAGATTTACTTTACACGGTTATGTGAAGAACATATTCTCTCTTTTTTCATGTACAAAACTCTTTGACTTAGCAAGTATAATGGAAGAAAATGGCAACCAGAACTGAGATGAAACCTGCCATTTTGGAGGTTTGATTTTTAGAAAGTATTGTTTATCGCTTACATGAACATTAATTGTCTGCAAAATATGCGCATAGACTATGTACGTCCTATATGTAAATAGACTTTCATCAGAAGAATATTAAAATTCATTACAAATGACTAAACATACATATATTAGGGATTCCCAGGAAACTAAATGAAATTTACTATACAAAAATCAATTCTGAGACTGGGCATGGTGGCAAGTGCCTGTAATCCCAGCTTTTGGGAGGCTGTAAACAGGCAGATCACTATGAGTCCGATGTAGTAATGAGACCCTGAGCATCCCGTAGACCCTTCCCTAAAATGCAAACAAAGAAACAAACAACAAAAAGAAAAACAAAAACAAAAATAAAAAACTGGTAACATTGTCCTTAAAACTGGCCTTTTTCTTGTTCAGATATCCATTTCTCTCTTCCTCCTTCCCCTCCCTATCTCTGTCCTCCACTACTTAATTCTCACCTTTCCCCTCCCATTTCCTTCTCCACTATCTCACAGCAGGTTCCACTTGAGCCATGACATAATCACCCCCAAGGTTTGTGTTTGCTGATGTAGTTTATGCTATAGATAGTAAAGTACATGGCTAAATTTGTCCTATAATAATGTATTAAACATTTGTCACACTAATGAGTTATTTTTGGTTTTAAGCAATGAGTCAGTTCTTAATTAGTCACTACTGGGGAAGGGAGGCCAGTCAGAATTAACCTGAAGCTCCAAATTCAAATATAATTAATGTCTAGAAGCATCTTAAGTCAAGCTAGATTTTATAATTAATTGACAAGCTAAAGCGAAAATGATCCCCAAATAACAAGTGTCAATGAAAGTAATGTCTCCTTTTATTTACCAAAGCTTAATAATAGTAAGATTAGTATTTCTTTGAAATAGGGTTTTAAAAAGTAAGCAATACTATGGTGTTCTAGGAGATTGGTTTTGAAGAAGAAAAACATGATTCACCTTTGCCCACCAACTTGACAGCATGAAGTAGGTATTGACATTTTCCTCTCCAAATTGCTCAGCCACATAGAGCCCCAGTGATCCGTACTTATCATATATGTTTCTCTTTGATGTATCAGTTAGTATGCTATGGGCATTGTTGATTTCTTTAAACTTTTCAGCAGCAGCTGGATCACCTGGATTCTTGTCTGGATGGTGTTTCAGGGCCAATTTTCTTTTAAAATAGAAAAAAGTGGGGAAAAACATTATTTGACAAAAATTATAATGACATTTTAGAAAAGCAGGGCTCATCCTTTGTACAAATACTGTACTGGTTATTTAACTAAGAATAAGTTTTCATTGAATGATGTTGCTTGCTTCTAATGTAGAGGAAAAATTGAATTATTTCTCGCCTCATGCTTTCAGAGTAATTCTCATGTATAATTGTTGAGTCTGAAACATCTTTGTATGGCAAATATGTGAAGTTTATCTTTATTTTTAAGCTGGTCAGTAGTCTACCCCACATATAGAGGACTTCAAGAGCTCTAGCAACTGGCCTACTTTACATTCAAATTCTGTGTAGAACTGTAAGAATTTTCCAGAATTATAGAACTTCATGTCACATTTCAAAAGTTAACTTCAAGCATAAAATAAAAATGTTGAATTTGTTTTTCCTGGTATTTCCTTCTCACAAATCTAGAAGTTCTAACTCATCTATGTGATTCTGAACAAATATTGACACTTCTATAATTTTCAAATGTATAGAGTGTGGTAAAAAATACAGTGAAGATTTTAAATTTTATTACAGTAAAAGATAAATTTCCATGAATTTCCCTCAAAAAATTCTCCCAGGCTTTGAATACACTTATCGTTCTTGTCACTTTCTGAAGGAGTTCTAAGAATACTCTAATTGTGCTGCCTTGGGTGCCTTGATGTCTTAGATTGATTCAAAGTGTTTACAGTTTATGGTTAGTGTTGATGTCTTAGATTGATTCAAAGTGTTTACAGTTTATGGTTAGTGTTCTTACGAGCCTGCATTTCCATTGGATGGCACTCAGCAGAAGCAGCATTCAACAAAACTTCAATTCCATCTCATAATA